TTAAACAGCATATAGTACTCAAATTTAACATCAATTCCTTTAGTAACAAAGCTCTTATTAAAAAAATACTCGAAAGAGAATGAATTGTTGTAGTAGTTCTTTTAGTTGACACGATCAACTATTTACCTAGTCTCGTTTTTTTTAATTTATTCATTACGTATATTTAAAATACATATAACTACATGTTGAAAATATACCTGAGTTATATGAATAGCTTTGATTTGTGTTGTTGTATCTTGTTGTCATGGTTGCTTAACAATTCATTCACCAAAAAAAAAAAGTGTTGATAAATAATAGTTGCATAGTTGTAGTAACAATGTTAGTTAATATTCAATTACATTCTGCGATTTTTTATGTTTTTGTACTGCTCTTACCTACATATATAAAAATATTTAAAGCATGTATATATATTTACTTATATATTGAAGGAAGTAGTAAATAAATAGCGTTATTAAACAATATAAGTGCTGTTTATTTGGTTTGCGAAATGTTTTGCCGAATAAAGTAAATAAACAAAATTTTATTTCAACAAAATTTCTTTAAATAAAATTGTAAGTGTATTGTGGGTTAGAACATTTTGGAAAAAGTTTTTACTATTTTTGGTGGTATAGTTTGAAGCGTCTAAGCTCCGATTGTTTCGTACTGTTTATGAAAGTCTTATCCCTGATGTGTTTGGCAGTGTAAACAAAGTTACATGAATACCATGTTTTGTGTACTTACTGAAACATGACCTTCATAAAACATAGACAAAAATGAACTGTTTTCGAAAATTATTATTCCATTTGACAAGTCTTACATAATTTATTTCTTAGAAATAGAAAAACTTTCAATTTCTAAGCAGCTAGTATTTACTATTTGTATGTTTAAGTTCAAGAATTCAAGTTTTAAAATTAAAATATTGAAAATTTAATAAAATTATTGTCGAACCTTTTCAGTTGATTTTAGATGGGGTTTATCGGTAATTTTTTAAATTATTCAATGGAATTAGATCTTATATTTATATAATATTGTGTTCATAAACTGAAAATATTTCCTTTAGGGGTTAAAAAGATAAAATGTGATCTGTACAGGTTTCCGAGTATACATGCCTTTTTTGTGTGAAAAATATTTGTAAGTAATACGAGTATAAAAATTATGGAGAATAATACGAATTAAGATTTTTTTTATAATTTCCTTTCAAAGTCCAATGTTTCTGTCATAAACCTTCTTAACCTGATTTAGCTTTGAACAAGCTTATTTTAATTCTAACTCTCTTAATTTTTGCCTTTATAGCGAAAGTTCAGGATTTATACAAATACTTATTTATTATGCTTTATACAAAAATACATTATTTAAATGAAGTGTCCATCAACATGCTATAGGTCAACTTTTCGTAGGTCAACCTTTTAATATTTCTCCCGTTATTTATAATTGAAATAACAATTTTATATACTTCAGTAAGTATTCTTGATCTTAGAACTTAAACTTTGTCAATGTCAATGATTTTCATATTTTAAGAGTTATAATTTTTAACCTTCGTCTTAAAAGGTAACTATACTATAAGTGTTCTATAATTAAATATACAAAGCAAAAAAGCAGAATTAAAGTATTTAAGTGTTTTTTTTTTCTTCTATATATCCAGTTGTTATACTTAAGTTAAACCAATATGTTTGTATACGTTTATAAAACGTTTTCTACTCTTTAAGTTTCGTAATATTTGAAGACAAAAGATATCTATGGTTAAAAAGGAATATAAAAATTATAATCTTCTTACAATATTCTAATAAAAAAAACAATGAATTTTTTCATTTCTTTTATGTGAGTATATCAGCTACGGGAATATGCCATTCAATTACAATAGAACTGCTTGCAATATTATAGTTTATACTGTAGTTGTAATCTAAGTATAATAGTAATTATCTTCTCTTATATTATTTTGTATTCAAATGAGTACTCATATCAGTATATACATATTATGTATAACATATATCTAACCATACATTTTGTTATATTTAAATTGAAAATGTCAAAAATATGATATAGAAACAACATGGTACTTAAATATATAGTTCATAAGTTTTATATTGTACTTAGTTGCAGGTTAACATATTAGAATAATTATAAGATTTACTTAAAAAGTATTAAGCATTTTGTAATACTTATACTATTTAACGGTAAGTATTATAAAAGTTAAACGTTTAAGAAAAGCGGTAAAAAAGAAATTTATTTTGAAATTAAGTATGTAGGCTCTGGTTTTTTTTCTTTTTTTTACTATTTAGTCTATTTGCTAAGTTTAATCCTGACATGACAAATTAATTTTACAATAAAAATATATGTACGATATATGTGCTATGGTTTCCAATTAAAATTATTTAAGTAAAGAGTAAAATTTTAACATTAACAATTTTAAGAGAGAAGTTTTATACTAGTTGGTATTAAACTAAAGCTTAAAAACTTTAACTGATTAAACTGAAAATAGCGTAAGAATGTAATGAGGTATTTGCTGCTCTTAAATAAATAATACAGGCGGTCCTAATTAGTCAGTTAATAATTGTAAACATTTTAAGTGTTAGTTGCTACTTATTAATTAAGTATTTGCAATTGTTTTAAAATGTTTTGAATTAATTACTTATTTTTCATTCAATAATTCAGTAATAATCTTGTTTTCAGTACTTTTCCAAAAAAGATTGGAACAAAATGCTTATAAGTTTCATTTTGTCTGCTCGTCCGTGTGTCTGATTACAAGACTCTTACACTTATTCAGATAGAAAACTGAAATTGAGTACCTGAATAAATAGACCTTTACTAGAAATTTATCTTTGTAGAAGTAAAATTTTTGTTTATCTTCCCCCTCTAAAAGTTATAGTCTCTCAAAATCCTTAAAAATGCCGTATTTCCATATTTTTTGACTATATAATGTATCAAAACCCCAAATATTTTTTAAATTCTGCAAATACAGAAAGATAGCGAAGTGCTTTTTCTACCATGGCATATCATAGAGGAAGATTGTTTGAAGAAAATTTTTTCTCTTTCACCCCCTACCAAATTATCTTCCCTTACATTTGAAAAACAGCAAGCTTTTTGAATATGTAAACAATCAATTAACTGTAACTGTAAATGTCATGCCATCAAGATGTCATTATTAGAGTAAGTTAAGAAAAACTTACATTATTTAACCATTAAATTTAACCATTATTTTAATATTTCTTTAAATTTTTTCTTTTGTTCATCCTAAATATATGCAATAATTTTTTATATTTTCATTCTTTAATGGAAAATTGCTACTTCACAAACCATTACTTTGAATAAACTTTGTTTCATTACTGTTTCACTTACTGTTTCTTTTAGAAATAAAAAATTCTAATAATTCACCTGAGATCATTATTATTTTGCATTTCATGAAATCTTCTGTACCTACACATTTTTTCAATTCATTATCATTGTAAGCATAATGTAATAACGAACCTTAAACTATCCTTATAAACTTATAATAATTATAGGTACAAAATGTATTTGCGCAATTATAATTCTATGTACTTAGCTGTATGTAAGCATTTAGGAAATGTATAGTTATTTAAAAAGTTACAAAACATTATACAGGAAATAAAACATTTTTCGACAGGAATGAATAACAGAAAAAAAGAGAAGAAAAAATCATATTTTATTGTCATAAATGGAATAAAAATTTTATTTTTCAATGTTGCTTTTTATGTGCTTGTGATAAAATTGCTATTAAACTACTTATATAAATACTTAAATATTGCATATTATATTTTATTATTATTCTATGTGCAGACACAGTCCTTTTAAGAGGTTCTGAGTACAATAGAAATAATAAATGTACATACATGCATAATAATGATTACAGGTTATTCCGCTTGTTTTATTATTTCATGTATATTTAAAACAATATGAGAGCAATGTAAATTCAATTGTTCATATTGTTGAACTAATTGATTTAAAGTTCATCATATCTGTTAAGTATGAATGATAGAAGCAAAAAAAAAAAATGTAAAATCAATAAAATTTTTATTAAAATAATTATTTTATTCTAGAACAAGAAGTGTACAGTATTCATACAGAAATAGCATTTTTTAAATAGCTACTTAAGTACACAGGAATTTCTAGACAATTTGAATCTTAATATTAATGACTAATTTTAAAAACAATTTATACGTAGGCATTCTATGTATGTTCATATAAAATTAAAATTTCCGGTAGGTATTAAAAATATTTAAGTGAAATTTACATTTATGACAATCCCTATAAGTATGCTCTAAAAATTAATTGCATTATACAAACATTTGCCTTAAGTATTTAATATATTTAATACAAAATGTATTTAATATATTGGAAATTTCATCTTAATTCGTTCTTTTAATAGATTTTTGTGTAATTGCGAATTGTTGAATGAAAATAATTTTTCGACTTCTAGTACTAGTTAGATTTAGTATTTAATTATTTACAATTATATAAAGAATTAGAGAAGAACAGTACATAGTCTATGATATTGTATATCTTGTACTGTATATACAGTTCTTCAGATGATTACCAAATATATTGCTGAAAATGCAAAATAGGACCTAAATAAATTTACAAAATATGATATTCTAGGATGCATATTATGGAAAAATATTGACAAAAGGTTTGGGTTCATGTTTTTGAAAACCTATTTAAAATATCAGTAGAAGAAAGCAAAAAACAAAAAACCTCATGTTAGAGTGTTACATGTTTATATTGTGACTGGCTCTTTTGAAAATTTTTGCCTACAAATGTATTTTCAGTTATGTTTTTGACTGATTTTTAGTATGTATATTTTGCATGAATAATTATCTAATTAAGTTTGTTTAGTTTTAAGATAAAAATAAATTGCCAAATGTTAAATGCATAATATGCAAATGTCAGAATATGTGATGTTGGTAATTTCTAATTCAAAATGAGAAAATTTCCCCCAACATGTAAATATTTTTATAATACATATTTTTCTAAGTATTAATTGTTTTTTTTTTGCATATTTTTAGGGAAATCGATATGGAAGCGATGGAAATTGTTGAAATGGACAATAAAAAAACTCGTTTATATAAACCAAAATTACAATCAATACGTGATTCAGGTCGTGAAAATTTTCATGATTTCACATTTGATTATTCATATTGGTCATTTAATGAGAAGGATAGTCATTTTACACCACAGGAACAAGTATATAAGGACCTTGGAACAGATGTTGTTGATTGTGCATTTCAAGGTAAATGTCATTATTAATATACATAATATTAAATAACTACCACAAAAGAAAAAATTAAAACTAAAACTTAAATGTTGGTAACAAAATGGTTGTTTTTATTTTTGTTGTTTTCGTTTTGATGATATTTTGATTTGCGTTGCTTTGTGGGATTCTTGAACTTTTTGTTTTCTCTATTTTTTGTTTTGCAAATCATAAATTATAAAATGAAATTGTATCAATGTTTCAATTGTATTTAACACGTTTGTATGTATATATGTATGTTTATTGTATGCATATACATACTTGCAAATATAAACATTGATTCGGTAAATTGATGCAAAATTCAAAGTAACCACATTTTTATTTTTTTGTTTTTTATTTTGGTTTTTTTTTTGCTATTACAATATTTGAGTCAAGTTAAAGTACAAGGTAAAATTGTATATAAATTGAGTATATAACTTATATACTTTTACGTATTCACATGTGTGTATGTACACTTATAGTATTTTATATACACGCGTTTTTATTCATGTTACTATAAATAGTTGTACGTACTTAAAAAAAGAGAAACACAAATAAACACGTAATAAAATTTTAAATAAAAAATAATCAATAAAAAAATCATAAACGATTATTGGAATAGTGTAGAATTTCATGTAATTTAAGTTTTAAATATGGTGGTAACATTAAATTGGTTAGAAATTTAAATCGAGTGGTTTAGAGTGGACTAATTGCTTTTTTATATTTGTTACTTTCTGTTATTTTTTATTTGCTAACACGTTGGTATTTAAATTACAATTTGCAAATTTCTTTTTGCATTAATAAGATTTTCCATTTTGGTTTACAAATTTTATTGCAATTAATTTGAAACCAAGTCCAAAAATGGTTTTTCAAAAACTTAAAATATACAATAGAGAAAATTAAAGTGAAAATTTTTTTATTATTTTTTTATGTACAAATATTATCTTTTTTAATTACTTGACTAACATAAAAGAATAAGAAACTTTTTCAACATTGTTATACAAAGTTTTAATTTAAAAATTTTAAAAAAGTAATAAAAAGTTTTAATTTCCAACCTAGATAAAATTTTTTTTTTAAAAAACTAACCCTTTCATGTCTACATTATTAATTAATGGAAAAACAAGTTGTTTTTTCGTAAATTGCTTATTATAGTGATAAATGTAGGCTCGGTTCTGTTAGTCCCACTTAGCTGGTGTATTCGTGCTAATCAACATGCTTGTTGTAAACATGTACGAGTATTCATAGTTCGTTGTTACATAATAATATCGAATTTTATCTTACGAAGATATTTATGATTTAAAATGAAAACAAATTTAACTCTTTTATGGCATAATAAAGGCCCATTTTCAAATTGTATTAGCCACTCGCATGAATGTAAGCTTGTGTATGCTTATAAATTTCAAATAAATTTATGCAAAAATGTCTTAATCCTTTTGCAATACTAGAGGAACAAAGTTCAGAGGAAATTTGAGAAGAATATTTTAAATTTTAATCAATTTTTAGGTACGCATATATGGAGGGTGTCTCATATCCAAGTGCACTACTATATACCATTGCATAGACCCTCATGAGTAGACAAAACTTGACATGAGTAAACAAAAATGCTTACAATGTTCACATCATAACAGATTTCGAGTTACAGAGATTTAAAAACAGTCTCGATTGACTTTTTCAGTTTTGAATATAACTATGTTGAATATATATTGAATACAACTCGCTGTGTCTCTGTTAGATGGGCGTATTATTAAATATGATTTGGAAATCTCGATAAGGGGCTATCTTATGAATATTAACATTCATAATCTGTTCAGATTTTTGGCTTTAAAGTTCGGAAAATTTAAAATTTAAAATTTTCATTTTTGAAAAACTTTATTTTTTTAGGTGACGTAATATTGCATCTTTTTCTCACAGTTGGTAGTGTTGTTAACTAAGTTTTTACACATCTTATTGTTTACCGGTTTCCAAATCTATTAATTACATAAATCGAGTTTTAGAAAAAGAATATAGGCATCAAAGTATTTATTTCACTTTTTTAACAATCCTCGTCTAGAAGTGGGTTAATAATTTTCGTTTAATAATGATCCTTACATCCTTAACCACATGATTTTAAATTGGCTTTTTAAATATACTTAAAACTTTTGTTTTATGTTTTCTTATAAATAAGTAAAATATTTAGAATTCATATACCTACATATGTATATACATATATATATAAATATATATAAATTTTTCATTATGTGAATATTTCAAATATTCTGCAGATGAAATATGTATGTTGTAGACAGGATATTTAAACTCTTTTTAGGTTAACATAAAAGAAAAGTACATTAAATGTTAGATTTTTTTTTTTTATAAATTTTTATATTTTTGAAAAAAATTTATTCAAATTATAATTTCGTATAGGGGAATAAAAATGAGTTTGTAAAATTATTGCCAGATTGAAGTTAATTTTATGAAAGAAAAATTTATGATTATGTTGGGATTATTAACATGATATGTATAACAATAAGGATTTATATTGAAGATATTTGAAAAGTATTTAGTAATCTATGACTTGTGGGTTATCCAATAGCATATTTTGAGTGGTTTGGTTTGATTTAGAGGTAAAGATTAAAATAATCACTAACTTTACATTAAAAATTTAGGTTCGGAATAATCACTGGTATTCTGCGATAATTCATTAAAATTGAAATAATTATGTTATTTGTTACCTAATTGTTACCTAATTTATTGATTACAAATCTTTTGTTATGGGAATTAAGAACTCTATATGATAGTGTAACATTTAAATTTAATTGATCATTTTCTAGTTAAAATTCACTGATTTCACTCTAAATTCACTTAATTTCTTGAAATTTAATTGTTAGTTACTAATATTTCTTAAAGTTTTCATTTCTAAACATTCTGAAAGAAAGTTACTGATATGTGTGTCTCAATTGTTTCCATTGTTTTTGGTTGTACATTATTAACGCCACCTTATTCATAATTTGTTCACTATATAGTTAACAGCTTTTATTCATTATTTTGACTCTAAAGTTCTTTATAAAAAAAATTTTCCCAAAAATTTTTTTTATGAAAACAAATGACATCATTTATTGCGGCTTTGTATACATAAAAACATGAAAAAGAAAAACAAAAACTAAATTCAATATTCTTCATAGTGATTCATACTTATTAATTTTGGAAACGAAATTTCTAATCTTACTTTCTTCCTAATTACTATCTTACTTCTTCCTAATTAAAAAAAAATTCCATTAAAAATTTTTTACGTCGTTTAATCAAATATTTCTTTAAAAATTTTCTTCTAATGAAATTGTTTTATTGTTGTTCCACTGTTTGTAATTTTTTGTACTAATTCCGGGACTTAAATCATTGCTAGAGAGAAATCGTTTTCCAAAATTTAATTATTTTGAATTAGTAACTTAATAATTTTAATTTGAAATATAATCTATTTTAAATATGGCGTTTCTCAATTTTTAATAAATTTCAATAATTAAAAAATATGATGAGAAATAATATTAAGAAAATTAATCTGTTAACCAGAGATCAGGAGTCGTTGAAATTAATGATTTCATTTGCGAGAAATGAAGTTTAACGATTTGAAATTTAATTTTAATTATTTTAATTTTCTGAACTTTCTGATTAAATGCAGATTGAAAGGAGATGATTTGGAAAAAAAATATTTCAACTCTAAAATTTTCCATCATTAATTTTTTCTTGAATTAAATATTCTTATTTTTCTTAGAATAATCATATATACATATTTATAAAAGGATAATAATATGTACAGTAATTTATTTCAAATAATCATTTTGAACAGGTTGAGAAAAATAAAATCCTTTGGTTATTTCCTCACTAAGTATACAAAAAAAAGAAAACTTTTTTTTTTCAAGGATAATAATATATATATATATATATATATATATATATATATATATATATATATATGTATGTATGTATGTATGTATGTATAATAAATATTATTTTTGATTTTGTTATTATAATTTTTTTTTACTAAAAAATAAATGTATACGAGTATAAAAAGCTATAACAAAAAATACAGGAACATGCCTACTCTACCTTAACGAATAATGACGTCATTTATGAGACGAAAAAAATATGTAAGAGAAAAGCGCTTTTAAATCAAAAGTATATTTAAATTTTTACACATACATTCATACATATTATACATAATGTTAATGTATATAATGTATATTATGTATAAGGCATACATACATACCCATAATATTAAATATTTATTCACAGATTATACTTGATTATCGTGAATATTAAAAAAAAGAATGAAAAAAGTTTTAAAGTTTTAGTTTGTATATGAAGAGAAAGCAATTATTTTATTGGTTTATTATTGTTTCTGTTTCTTTCTGATTTTGTTGTTGAATAAAGCTTTGAAGTAAAAAACAAAAACAAAAAGGTTGCCGCCAACGCCAAGGATTAGATAATTAAAATGGTTTTTTTTTTTATTTATATTTTTAGTTTTTGTTGTTTCTTTTTTTTTTTGAATATAAATTGATATTAATTTAAAGTTGGTGAGTGTTAAAGAATTGAGTAGAATTTTATAGGATTAAAGGAATTGCTTTTTAGCTTTTTTGTGAATTAGGAGAAAAAAAGTGTTTTGCTGACAAATTAAAAATACAAAATTTAAATTCTTTTTTTGAATTACTGCCCTTAAATTGAATTACGGAAAATTTGTGATTTTTAAAGATATCTTAAGTATTTGTGTTTAAAATTGTCATAAAATAAGGAAAATTTATTTAATTTTTAAGGAAAAGCAATAAATGTCCATTGTATAACTTTGATGCCAACAAAATATGCTTAATCTAATTATAAAGAGTGTCCGAAGAGTGTCTTTCTGGTATAATAATAAAATACGCGCAATATGGTCAGCATAACTTGCAGTATGATTAACTTGTTATGAAAAAGCTTATTTTTCTAGTTTTTTTTTTTTAATTCGATCTTACATTTTCTCCCGATATTCCTGA